GGTCGCATGCCGCCCCAGCACCAACCCACTGCTTAAATGCTTAAAATTATGATCTGATCCGTGGGGTCCTTTTTGCTAAAGGTCCCCGATGCTGCGTCTTCTTCTCTCTGTTCTTTCCTCCCTGCGCCTCGATCTCGCGTTCATTTGATACCCGTCTCCCTCTGTGCCGATCCATCATCACACCCTTCCCTCGGAAATGGTCGTACTGTATCTGCATGCGCCATTCTACAGGGCACTCTCGTGAGACTATTTGTAAATTGTCAAGCACCGCGCTGGAATCGCCTTCCGGTCTCTCTTTGATGATATTGGATCTGGTTTATCCTTTTGATATTGCCTTCTATCTCGGAAAAAGGAGACCCCCAATTTGCTGAGAACTATGGCTTTCCAATACCAAAAAAAACTTACGCAAAAAAAATGTCCGTCAAAAAAAAGAAACCAACTTCAAGAAAAGAGAAAGAGAGCGCAAGCAGGCAAATTTGGCTTTTGTTTTCCCCCCTCTACCTAGATAATGGCGGAGGATGGAGGTGTTCGTGGTGCATTGAAACTCGTCGGCGAAGTGGCTTTTCCTCTGTGGTCTTTTTTGCTCTTATAGTTTTAACCTATTTCTTTGTCCACTGATTATGTTATTTTCCTCATTGTCTAATCTCAAGCTGTGTGTGTTTATTGTTTCTGTTGATTCTATGCCATGACGAGACCGTCTGTCTTGGTTATGACGGATTCTCAACGCCGTTCGGTTCGGACTTCGCACCGATATGGCTCATGGCTGAGTTACATTATGTATGGTACGGAGCAATCGGATTCTGTTCTCTTGGTTTGTTTTGTTGCTTGTTGTATTCGTAGTGGTCTGTGGTAGACTTGGGTCCTGCTCCGTTCCAACCATGTAGTGCGGTCCCGCTAGGATATGCAGCCTAAGAGGATACCGAATCTCGTAATGGGAAGTATATTCTCGCTTTCTGGGTACTTGTTAGACTATGTAGTCTAAAACGGCCTCTGGACACTCGGGTAGTAATTCAGTCCAGTTCGAACAATACGATCCGATTTGTCAGATATATTCCCAACCTTCCATACCAATGAGATTCACTTTACTTTGATATTCTGCATGACTGCTGGGCTGGTACTTTGTCCCAAATCTGGCCAATCTACGTTCAAACCGAAAGACGTATATACCTTGGCGTGCATGTAGAGAGAAAGGATCGCGGACCTGCATATGAGAGGTCAGTGCCACAGCCAAGGGACTTTTGGCAGACATTGTGACCGGTGTTCTTAGAATCTCTGCATTATCATATAGAGCACGGGAATTGTATCAGGGTCTTATATTCATTCGCGTGGAGCTATATCATCGATTGGGTGGTATCATATCATATTATCTAGACAGTGGATGGCAGAACACAAAAGAGAGACCGGCAATGGTCTTTTCCCGACCGCGAGCTATGAGCGACGGAAGCAACATAAGTGGATTGCGGTATGTCCAAGGAAGAGGGACCGCTGTACATAGGCATTGAAAGGCGAAAAGCAAAGAGAAGCCCGAGGTGGTAGTGTCCTGAAGGCAAGGGTTATAGGTTGGAGCGAAGATTGATATTATATAGAGGTGGTTGGGGATGACGATGGCCGAAAGGTGTCAGATTCAGGAACCGGGATTCCCTGTGGATAGTGTGTTCGTGGAAGAGGGACGCCAGAGTGGGGGAGTAGGGATGAGGAAGAGCCATCTTCTGGGTCAATCCCAGCCGGCGGGCTACTCCATCGAGGCAGATATTGTCTCCCAAACCTCCAGGCACCTGCCAGAGCCCTTTTTGAGCCATTAAGAAGACCAGACCTGGCAGACGAACGAATGATAGGGGAGTCGCCGCGCCAGTGAGTATCATCGCCATCCCCTTGGATGGTTCCGTACCCACCGATGTCTTGGTTAGACGATGAGGTGAACGGATCCCCGCCCCTCCGACGTTTACGATGGACGGCCGATAACCCACTCTGAGGTCCTGAGGTGCGAAGCCATGGGTCCTCACGTGATGTTTCTTGGATTCGGCGAGATCCTCTTTCGCGATCGTGTGTAATAGCGCCGGCCGTCGATTGCCGTGTCAGACCCCGCAATGAGCCGTTGAGGGTTGCACTACCACTGACGCTACGCAGGCGATCTATGGAGGACTGCCTGTGTCCATCGGTAGATTCATAGTCCGAATCGTCGAGTTCAGCCCAAATAGATGCGGGGTTTATATCAGCTGAGTCGCGATCAAAATGCAAGTTGAGTGGCAGGCTCGGAGCTCTTCCCCGCTGATATGAAAGATGGCGAGTATGGGTTTTCGGGTTGAGAAGTGGCTCGCATTCTCTAATCTGTGATTCCTCATCCTGACCGTCCAGCAAACCAGGTGATGCCGGAGAGTGCTCTTCCACGATTCCCATACCCGGCCCAAGTCCGGTTTGCGTGGAACCCAAAGTGGTGACAGCGGTATGAGTGTCGATATCCTCAAGTCGCCATGACAGGCACAAAACACCACCTAGGAGAATCATTGTTCCCAAAGCGATGAGACCGGCGTGGAAGCCCGTCAGCTGGGACATTTGCCGGAAGTAGATCAGGCCATCCAAGATAGCAATGATGTTATAGATGCAGAACACAAAAGGATATAGTACACTAGTACTACACAGCTTCAGGCCCCTATGGAGATAGAATAGCTGTGTGAGTGCTAGGAAGATCATTCCTAGCAGGATAACCCATGATTGCCAACGATTGAACTGGTTCACACCGTCTACCATTGTGCGCACGAGAAGCTCCACGGCCGACTTTGCTAGCAAAAGGGAGTGAGCCGACAGTATACCACTGACAAATCCATAGCTCATGCCGCGGATCAATCTCATTCGGCTTTGCAATCGCAGTAGATGTGGTGAAAAATGACCAGAGGCCGAGGGTTTCGCGCGTGAGGACGGTAGGAAGAGTTTCAGCATTTTGGTACCAACAAGTACCAGGACAACCAGGAGTGTAGTGGCACCCATCCACAGAAGAAACGACCGTCGCTGAAGAAGGTCCAGGAGCTGATCCAAGGTATGTGCGGGTTCCCCGATGGCCCCGAAGGTCGCAATTAACAACGCGCCGGCGCAGACGAGAACGGTGCCTGCGAGAGAATATCGGGTAAAGGGTTCACTGAGGATGAGGGTCGCAAATATAGTATTGAACACTAGTCCGGACTATTCGGCATTCCTATCAGCAACCAATCTCCGGCATGCATGGAGGGGGAACTACTGACCGCTTGGAGCGTCGAGAGGACTGGTAACGGAAGTGTAGTGATTTGTATGGTACTTCCAACAATATTGGAAATGACAAACATCCCCATTCCTATTTGCCATCGTCGGCGCTTGTAGGGGGGTCTGCGCACATCGTAGGGGTGCTTCTCATCCTCGAGCAAATGCGACTTGCGCTGGAGCGTGAGCCCGATAGCTTGGAGGCTGGTTGATATCAGTCCAACGATTACACCAACCTGATACATAATTAGCTTTGGATCTTATCTCGCTGTATATCCTGATTTCCGTAGTCTTACCGCAACACTTCCCTCCGGTGACAAGTCACCTAGATTGCCCATGTTGTGTATCGTGCATTGGTCGGGTCAAGGGATAGGAAAGGCGCATCAAGTAGAAGAAACTACCGGAGTAAAGAAGCCATAGCTCAGGTAAAATTATAGGGAACGATAGGATCGCGCTGAAATGGCAAGTTGTCGAGGGGAGTGCGGAGGACCTGGGTGCGGAACGCCAAGGCAACGCAATCCGAGCTTAGTTGGACACAACATCCTTTCCCTTTTCCCCACGTCATTCCACCCCAACAGGCGATACAGCAGTGAACCGCCAAAATGTCACAAAGCCATGCTCTGTCAGATGATCAGGTATGTTCGCCGTTTACTCTAAGTATTGGGAGGCTTGAGTTGGACTGATGGCCATCCAATCCAGGTCGCGGGCGAGCTCCGCAAGATGACCGCCTTCATCAAACAAGAAGCACTTGAGAAGGCCCGAGAGATTCAGTTGAAGGCCGACGAAGAGTTTGCTATCGAAAAGTCCAAGCTCGTGCGCCAGGAGACTGCGGCCATCGATACCCTCTACGAGAAGAAGTTCAAGCAGGCAGCCATGTCCCAGCAGATCACCCGGTCCACACTCGCTAACAAGACCCGACTCCGCGTGCTGGGTGGCCGTCAGGAGCTACTCGATGAGTTGTTCCAGAATGCCCGTGAGAAGGTTTCCAAGGTGGCTGCCGACGATCAGAAGAAGTACCAGGCCATGCTCAAGGGGCTGGTCCTCGAGGGTCTGTATTATCTGAACGAGGATAACGTTGCGATTCGCTCGCGAAAGAAGGACTTCGGTATTACCAAGGATGCTATTGAGGAGGCGACCAAGGAGTACAAGGACCATGTTGGCTCGGAGGTGACCGTGACTTTGGACGAGTCGGAGCCATTGCCAGAAGGATCGTGAGTTTATTCGCTCTCCCTCTCAATATACGCCAAGGGGACTAACTAGGTCGCAGTGCTGGTGGTGTGTTTATTGTCGGTGGGCAAGGCAAGATTGAGATCAACAACACTTTCGAGGAGCGTCTGCGGCTGCTGGAAATTGATGCTCTTCCTGCAGTGCGAGAGACGCTCTTTGGCAAGAACTTGAACCGGAAATTCTACGACTAAGTGTGTATCACTTGTTCTGTCTTGGGTTTCACGTTTGCGACTGCTGTGTTTCGTGTGTTATAGTTCAGATAATCTTTGTCTCTCTTGGCCATCTTCACAAATAGAGGGGATTTCTTTGCACAGTTCAAGTCTCCTTTGGAATATGACCGAACTCTTTTAGCGATTGCTCTCATTCTACATACGTGCTTGAATACATTGGTATACTGTAATAAAACGCCTGGCTCAAAGTCATGATCATAAGGGTCGTAAGTCAGAGTGGTGGCAGACGGGAAAAACTGGGCGGGTATTCCATCATCAACCCATTTCAGTGAAATGGAGATTTTGGGACTCAAACTGCCAATGCCAATGTGATCAGGATACGTGATCATGCGCGCGGATGGGAATATCTTTGTCACCATTATCCGCGTCGCCTGGCGCCGCAAACGAATTCGTTTCTTGCTTGGCCTCGGGATTCTGCTTTTCAGCAGCAAGCGCAGCAAAAGTGCTGAAAATGCTCCGAATGTTACCATCTCTCTCCTTTACATGTGACTCGAAAATAGTGGTTTTCGGCGGTGGCTTGGACCGAACCGAATAGACAATTCGGTAATGCAAGGCCTCGAGTTCACTTTTGGCCACTGTCCGTGTCACATGTGAGGCCCCGGAATCCTGAATAGAACAAAATATCATTTTGATCTGAGCTGCCAGCCTGTCGATGGCAGCGTCATAGTCTTTCTCGGGTTGAGTACTGCTGAAATTCAACGCTAGCGCAGACGAATCAATCGCGACGTTGAGAAGAGCAGTGAGTGAAATTAATTCCCTCCAGTCGTAGTCGGCTATGCCTTTGAATCGCCTAACTTGGAAACGCTCATCCCGTAGCAGTAACAATGTAATACGTTTGATATCAAGCAACTCTCCAGGGGGTTCGGTGAGAGGACCGGGACTCCGTAGTAAAAATGCAACGGCCAGGCGACATCTTATCAGTGCAAACCATGGAGATGTGGGTAGGATATGATGCACAACTTGACTTTGGATGCAAACATCGTGTATCGTGGCGTGGAAAGTGGCGCAAACTCGACGTAACTGGTATCGTTGGCTTTGAACGTGGTACAACATATAGGAGATTACTTACCGAATCTTGGGCACTGGTTTCATGGAAATTCTCAGGATCCAAGACAGCATTTATGGTCCACTGAAGCTCCGACGATACCGTAGAATCCGCTGTTAACGAAACATCAAGAGTAAGACGTAGCAGTAGGAGCACCACTTGCTCTTGGGTGTCTTCTGCGAATCTACAATTTTGTAAGCATTACATTGTCGCGGGTTTGAGGGAGTGGAAACTCACAAGCCAGCAGTTTCTCTAAGTAATCTCAGGACTGAAACGAAGGTTGCATGGTCTTTCAACGCAGAATCTGGAGTAATATCTGACAGTGTTTATTAGCAGGATCCAGAGCCACAGGCAATATAGTCAAATCATACATTGGGAAGGAATTGGGATAATCTCCTTGGAAGGATCTAAAGCCTGGCTCCGAGCACCTAGTCGTGAGAAAAGTTCATTGATATCGGCCGGACGGATGAGCAGCTTTAGGCGGTCCTGATCCATATTCTTATATATTCAATTAGTTAATACCAATGGGGGTTTGATATAAGAGCATCTACAAACCTTAATAATTCGGTAATAGGCATTGCTCAATTCCTCTCGGCGTTCATAGGGTACTGAAAGGCATGTTAGCTTGACAGTAATAAGCAAAGCATGGTATGAGACGAACTGGAACGAAACATCCACAGAACGAATTCGTCCGGCAAAAGCCCTTTGGACAAAGCCATCTGAATAAATTCGCCTGACATGAACTGGCGCTCGCGAGTATCAGATTCTACAATTGGTCAGCATGGAAAGAAGCAGCGAACGACTCATTTAGAGCTCACCCCTTAATATATCCATACTCGTCCCAGGTGCGATCAGATCACTTGGAAATTGGGGGGCTGACGGCAATGTCTGTGTGCAATCAAAAAATGGCCAGGCGCGGCCGGGGTCAAGAGCATCAGTTCTTCTAATAGCATTTATCAGACGTTGACCTCCAACACCGTCTTCATTCTCGCCAAGAGCAGAGATCAACATGGTTTCATTCAGAGCGGTGCCGGACGAGCCGTTTCCGTGCTCCATGCCGTTCGGTTGCTTCTGCACATAATTGGCTTTCGCCCGAGCTACGCTGGCTTCGACCTCATTATCATCCACTGCATCATGAACTAGAGAGTCAATGTTGTGTTTGTATTTCTTTGGCGATGATATCCTCTGAGTGAATTTGGCCGGTGTGAACAGGTCCTTAGACGTTGGAGCGAAAAGATTCTTTGGGTCCTCCAACGAGCATATCGAGTCTGTGTCTTCTCCATCCGAGCTGATTACTACCTCTCTGCCATCCTTGATGATGCGCTGAGATCCGTTGAGGCTCTTATTCAGAGATGAGACCCCGGTAACTGAGTCGATACTTTGGAAACTTTGATGCAATGTAGGGGACTGAAGGAGGGTGTCCTGAGTTGACAGATACAGTGCCGCATTTAGGTGGGCCTCAGCATCTTGTTCAGATTGTGGTAATATTTGATCAAATGCAAAGGAAGAGGGGGGGTCGGAGGATTCGGTCGCGAATTCAGCGCTTTCATTCATCTGAGGTGTACTCTTCGTCTCAGGTGTGCTGTTCGAGTTGACATGAGCGAATGTAGGTCTATTAAGCCATAAATCTTTTATGGTCTGCATGATGAGTGAGTGATGTTGAGTGTTCTCGTTAAAAAAAAAACAAGAGCCATATCGCGTTGAACGCGCCGATTTGGCGCGATGTCAGCCGTGGACAATGAGATGCTGACTCATCGGTCTTTCTTTGTTCCTGACCTTGTTGCTCAGGTGGAACCTGGACGGGGCGATTTTTAACCTTCGGAACGCTAACCATCCAATCCCACACTTTAAGACTAATTGAACTCATATCGAGGTCAAATTGATATTGAACTGACCTGTGTGCATTGGGAGTACATACCTTGAACTGTCGAAAACATACTTGGCTACCAAGTATGTTAGTTATCGTATTGTAGATTGTAGATCTGGTAGCCACATCCCTAGTGGCGGCGATCTCTGGTTGATCTGGTCTACTATCGATTACTACTGATCTCGTTTGATCGACATCAAACTTGCGATGGAAATGGCCGATTCTTTCTGATACATATTTTTACTGTGTCAGTCTACGGAGTAACGGGTAGGGAAAATGACACTCCAATTAGCTTTATCTAAAGCGACGATACGCTAAACATCGGGTCCCACTACTATAGTTCGTGGTCGACCGGGTGACGACCCTGAAATGTACATATGTCGTATCAGCACGCCATTCAAACGTTGCACTACTGTACAGAGTACTGCAACTGCTTTTGCTTTAAGACCCTTGCCTCGAGATCTGGTTTCGAAGCTTTTAGAGGAACACACCCGTGATACGTGGGTATTTGGTAGGGCTATCAGGAAAGGGGAACACGAGTCCCGGGCAATCCGCGAACCCTTGTTTTACGAGGACGCCGATCATCGAGCCTGTTCAGGAGTATTCTCCTGAAGCCAAGGGTTTTCTTTTTTCTATTTTTGCCAAGAAACAAGGAGGGATGCATACGGTAACATAAAAAAATGAGAGAACGGGTCCAATGATGGTTTGACCCATATGCATAACAGTCTTGGGAATTTGGCAGATACTAACCCAAAACATAACTATCAGAGTGAAGGGAAGCTGACTCAGGTGGACCGGGAAGCTCGTGCCGTGTCGGTTTCAGGATCGATGCTCCGACCCCGAATTCTGGGTCTCTGATATCATTAGGGGAGGCGTGGGAAGAAAAAAAAAAAAAAAGGAAATCCATGGTCACAATACTGTCTGATTCTTCTGATAGGATATAGATCGATTACATGGACACTGCCACGACAGAAAATTCGCCTTAGTAAGAATATCGATGCGTCCCGAGGTACCCTGTACCCTACAACTTCTAGGAAAACCTGCAACGCAAGAAAAGGCCAGTTGTTAAATTAATACTTCATAGTGGGGTGAAGAAAACAACCGCGGTGGGCCAATAATAACCGTTACTCCAGAGTTTGCATACGGATCAAACGGATATGTACGGAGTACGGAGCAACTTTCATAGTGAAGAACTGGGGAGAATACTCCGTACCCGCGGTAGGTAATCCCTCGTTAAGCCTAGTTGTAAGCGATCATAATGCTGACGGTGGCAGTGCCGCGATGCGCACTAGTGAAAAGAGGCCGAAATAAACACGAATCCACCAATGTCTCTTAGCGATTAAATATCAATACTATGTACTCCGTAACTATATCAATATCTCGTCCCATAGTTCAAGTGCCGAGTACCCCGATTGCCACAGTCAGAAATTTAGCAGGGAGAGGTCGGAACGGGGCTGGACATTATAAATACCGGACTTTACATGTATTGTCCCTTGAGTCCGAGATCATATACATGGCTACCTACCTTGAGTCTCGGTGATTGTGCAGTCGTGCTGGCTCCAACACGAATGAAGATGCCTAAAGATGCCGAGAACAAGAGAAAGAGGCAGTGTAAAAGAGACGCAAGACATATCATACCAAATTATACCAATAGAACAGTCGACGCGTGTAAAAACCTCCTGCCAAGCCCGCTTTGAATGACAAAGCAGAGGTATCTTCCTTGGAAGGTTGGCCCGGCCCCATCGGTAAGCACCCACGGACGGGTGGTAACGAGATTACATACTCTCCCGTACTGAGATCCATACGAGGGTAAGCTCAGGTGGCTACTCTATCTTTCTCCCACCCCTCGAAGCACAAAATAACTACTTTGGTGCTTCTTCTCTTTCTTTCTTTTTCCCTTCAGTATTTTGAATGGCCCCTTGTGGGTGCGCCCTATAACCCTTCGGCTGTCGCATTGCAATCATATTCCATCACGATCAGCCGCGGAAACCCTGTTTTGAATAGTTTTGGACGATTCCTCGAAACTGGTCGACAACAACATCTTCGACACGCGCACATAGAACCCCTGATTTTCTCGAGACTTATATCGCCTATGACCTTGCGTTTCCATCGTCCTCAACCCCTGTGAACGCACTCAGACCGACAATCTTTCTCTGCGCCGAGCGCTGTCGGATTCCGGCCCTTCAAACCGGATGCTAGCCAGCTACCAATAATCAAGGTTTCTATCGAGTTTTATGCCCTTCTTGGGCGCACCAATAGCCTAGATGGCTTCCGCGCGCTTCCCTGGAGACAATGGAGAGGATGAAGGGGACAACAACGAGCAAGGTGCTGATATCGGGGAGGTCAACAGCCACGTCTCCAAGCCGACTAAACGACAAAGATGGGCTACCACACGAGCGCCCGGACATGGTGGCGTCAAGAAACGTGTTTCAATTATCGATCGCTTCCATAAACGGTCAGATCTGAAAGACGAAAAGCGAAAATCGAACAATACAAGCACCTCAGGCAATAGCGAATCTCAGATCCCGCAAGAAGGACCGAATCGGAGAATCTACTTCAGCATTCCTATTCCGGAATCCGAACGAGACGAGGATGGTCATTTGCGCATCACGTACCCCAGAAACAAAATTCGCACGGCCAAGTATACACCGCTCACCTTTGTTCCCTACAACATCTGGCTACAATTTCACAACATCGCGAACATCTATTTCTTGTTCGTCATCATTCTTAATGTACGCAGTGATATCCTTATTTCCATGGCTTCCACCCCAGTTGGCATTGGCTGATGATATTCTAGTGCTTTCCAATTTTCGGCGCCAACAACCCCGGTCTGAACGCCGTTCCTCTAATCGTTATTATCGTTGTGACCGCTATCAAAGATGCCATTGAGGATTGGGGGAGAACAGTGTCTGACAATCAAGTGAACAACTCTCCGGTTTACAGACTGGTTGAATGGAACAATGTCAATTCGACAGAAGACAACATTGATATATGGCGTCGTGTCAAGAAGGCTTGTACCAGGGGCTCGATCGCCTCATATAAGTGGGTTGTTTCTCAATTTAAGAAGAAAGAGAAAGAGGGGGATGATGATGAAGGGCAAAGACGCGACTCATTCTTGAGTACAGCAGATCGCCGGTCCTCGATTTATACGCAGCGGAACTCCTTAGCCCCCGAAGATATCGCTATCCCCATGACCGATGTTCCATCGCCTCAGCCCGAAGCTCGCGAAGATTGGCCGATCGTGAGCAACCCTGAAAACAAGTATCTGTCTCCGAACAGCGCAGCTCGACAGAGCGTCGTTGAGCCAACGCCGGACAAGAAACATGGAACCATCCTGGACATGTCCAAGCAGACACCCGGCAAGGCCCGATTCAAGCGAGAGCAGTGGAAAAGTCTGCAAGTTGGCGACTTTGTCCGGTTGTACAACGAGGATCCTATTCCAGCCGATGTCGTGATTCTGTCCACTTCTGACCCGGATGGCGCATGTTATGTCGAAACAAAAGGCTTGGATGGAGAAACCAATTTGAAGGTTCGCCAAGCTCTTCACTGTGGCCATGAAGTTCGACACGCCAGAGACTGCGAAAAGGCCGAGTTTGTGATCGAAAGTGAGGCCCCGCATGCCAACCTGTACACTTACAATGGTGCCATACGTTGGGACCAGCGCGATCCACGTTTCCCTGAAGCTCCCCGGAAGGAGATGGTTGAGCCCATCTCTATCAACAACATCTTGCTCCGTGGGTGCAATTTGAAGAGTACCGAATGGGTCCTAGGTGTTGTCCTCTTCACCGGTGGAGAGAGCAAGATCATGCTCAATTCCGGTGCGACTCCGGCAAAACGACCTCGCATGGCAAAGGATCTGAATTGGAACGTCATTTACAACTTTTTCATCCTATTCCTCATGTGTATTGTCGCAGGTATTGTGAATGGAATCGCATGGGCCAGGCCAGACAAATCTCTAGACTACTTTGATCTTGAGTCCTACGGAGGCACACCACCTGTCACTGGTATTGTCACCTTTTGGACCGCTCTCATCCTGTTCCAAAACTTGGTTCCCATTTCGCTTTATATTTCTCTTGAAATTGTTCGGACCATCCAAGCGCTTTTCATCAACAACGATCTGTTCATGTACTACGAGAGACTGGGGATCTATTGTGTCCCTAAGTCTTGGAACATTTCAGACGACGTTGGCCAAGTCGAGTACATTTTTTCTGACAAAACTGGTACATTGACTCAAAATCTGATGGAGTTCAAGAAGTGTACGGTCAACGGTTTGGCATATGGAGAGGCTTACACAGAAGCTCAGGTTGGCATGCGGCGTCGCGAGGGAGCTGATGCTGACGCAGAGGCCGCAGTGGCTCGACAACAAATTGCTGCCGATGCGCAGAAAATGTTGGGTCTGTTGCGTGGGATTCATGACAACCCTTACCTGCACGACGACCAACTGACGTTCGTTGCTCCGAATTTTGTGGCCGATTTGACAGGACAATCCGGAGAGCGGCAGAAGCACTGTACAGAGGACTTCATGCTGGCTCTTGCCTTGTGTCATACCGTTATCACCGAGCATACTCCCGGCGACCCCCCTCAAATTGAGTTTAAGGCCCAGTCTCCTGACGAGGCAGCGTTGGTCAGCACTGCTCGAGATTGTGGATTCACCGTTTTGGGCCGAGCCGGTGACGATCTTCTCCTGAATGTCATGGGCGAGGAACGCACATATACAGTTTTGAACACCCTTGAATTCAACTCATCTAGAAAACGAATGAGTGCAATTATCCGAATG